TGACGCTCGGGGGGGGCATGTGCACCCCCATGTCCCCCCTACGCATCACCATTGCAGCAAGGTATATGCAGTCCAGGGAAGACCAAGAAGCCATCCTGTCACCCAGACGATGGGTGAGAAGACAGAGGCAAGTTCTTTGCCTCTGTCTTCTTGGTCAGGGACCAGGACAGCTCTCCCACCACAGGTAGGAGCAATCTTGGGGATAGCACTGCCAGGCCTCGGGTCTGCGCAGATGTAGTTAGGGATCTTCTGGAAGGGCTGGATGTTTTTAGATCTGTGGGCCCCGATGCACTCCACCCACGGGTGTTGAGAGAGCTGGCGGGGGTCATTGCTGTGCCCTTGGCCCAGCTGTACGAGCGATTGTGATCCACGGGCCAGGTGCCCAGAGACTGAAAACTAGCTAATGTGGTCCCCATTTATAAGAAAGGGAGAAAGGAGGACCCAGGAAACTATAGGCCCATAAGCTTCACATCAGTCTTAGGGAAAATCCTTGAAATAATTATCAAGGATCACATCTGTGAGGGGCCAGCAGGGGAGATCATGCCCAGGGGAAATAAACATGGGTTCAAGGCAGGTCCTGCCAGACCAACCTGATGGCTTTTTCTGACCAAGTAACTAAATCCCTGGATGATGGTGTCGCTGTGGACGTAGTCTTTCTGGACTTTAAGAAGGCCTTTGACACTGTCTCTCACCCCATTCTCATTAATAAATTGAGCGACTGTGGCACTGATACCTACACAGTTGGTTGGGTCAAAAATTGGCCGATTGGGCACGCCCAGAGAGTGGTGATGGACGGGTCGTACTCAACCTGGCGGGATGTGAATAGTGGGGTTCCCCAGGGGTTAGTCCTGGGGCCCATACTGTTCAACATCTTCATCAGCGACTTGGACGAGGGGATGGAAAACACGTTGTCCAAGTTTGCCAATGACACCAAGATGTGGGGAGAGGTAGGCACGCGCAAAGGGAGAGAGAGGCTGCGATTAGATTTAGACAGGCTGCAGAAGTGGGCAGCTGGTAATAGGATGGGGTTCAATGTAGATAAATGCAGGGTGCTGCACCTGGGGAGAAGGAATCCACAGCATACATACAGGCTGGGGAGTTC